TATGATTTTGAGGAGCTGTCTCAAGTTCAAGCTACAGCAAAAGAGATTCAGAGCAAATCATTGAAATGAGCAGTGACAGGTCAGTGCAACCAGGTAGTGGTTTGCTTCAGGTATGAAAAGAGCTTAAATTGGAAGTTTCTTGCACACTAACATCCTGGGAAAGCTGGGATTTAAATTGGCCCTGCTACTGAAGGAATGAAAAGTGGGTACTTAAGGTATCTCCAAGATGATCCAGCAGAAGTATTAACAAGTTAGATCTGACATTTTATGCTGCAGATTGCTTGATTTATCAGAAGTTAGCAGACAAACACATAGAATACAGTGTTTTGGAGAAGAGTTGATGTGACTTTAGCAGAGGAAACTTGTGTCTTGCACACATAATACAGTTTTTTGAAGAGAGCAGGTGCATAAAAGGGAGCCAGGCACTGTGGAATAAGAGGAAAGCTTTTCTTCTGAATGAATAACTGGTTATAGATAGGAAATACAAGATACAAATAACTGGGCAGTTTTTGCAATGCAGGGAGATTACCAATTACCTTGTGCACCTGTCCATTTCAATATATTCATAAAAGAGCTGAAAAAGGGAGACAGATGATAGTGAAGTGCCAAAATGTGTTGATGCCATAGAGTTATTCCAGGTAAGGAAAAGTAGACATGACTACAAAAAGTTGCAGAAGAATCTGACAATATCAACTGTCTGGGCAATAAAATAGCTGCTGAAATTCCATGTTGATAATAGTTGAGTTCAGACACAATTATAGGGTTTAAATTAATCCACAGAAGAGGACCTGGCATCACTGTAGATGGTTCTTTGAAAACGTCTGTTTAGTGCTCAGCAGAGGTCAGAAATGCAAGGGGAATTCTAAGAATTGCTGGGAAAGGGATGGGGAGTAAAAGAGAAAAGGCAAGTGATGATCTTGAATAGAGTGTAATTCCAGTCACCCCATCTCAGTGCAGTGCTAAAGTAGAACTAGAAAAGATGCAGAGAAGGGTGAGAAGGCTGACCTGAGTGATGAAGTGGGGAGTCTAAGCCTATAAAACTTGCTGAAGAAATGAATGAGCAGGATTAAGGCAGAGAAGTAAAATGAAGATGGCTATGAAGGGAGTGAATTAGGAATTATTTTTTGCAGCAGACAGTGTAATGACATGGCCAGGCAATAAGTTTAAAGCAAACAACAGGAAAAAAAAAATAAAATCACAGGCTATAGTAAATGGGGAAACTGAGCAGTGAGTCATTTACATGCTGGAGGTATGGGTTATTTGAAAAATAGGCAGTGCTGAGGTTCCTAGCACTGACTCTTAACATAGAATCCCAGACTGGTTTGAGTAGGAAGGGACCTTAAAGATCATCTCATTCCAACCCTCTACCCTCTGCCATGGGAAGGGACACATCCCACTAGACCAGGTTGCTCAAACCTCCATCCCACCTAGCCCTGAACATGTTCCTCCAGCACTTTTCCCAATGTACTGGGATGACCATGTCCTCTCTATCCTCTGCAGCTGGGTGAGATTTGCATACTGGTTTGGTTTGGCTTCTTGCTGGTAGAACCTGCCAGGTTTTTTGATCTGGATTATAATCAGTTAAAGGATCAATGTGATCTTCTGGTGTGATCTGTCCTGTAACAAAAGCCACATAAATGCCTTGCATTAATTAATTAATTCATTTTCTTTGAAATGCAATGGAATATTGGGGAGGAAAAAGTCCAAGTGTACCTTGAAACTTTCCTGTGTAGAGTAAAAGCTCCCAGAGGTTAATTGCACTCTCCCTAATTAGGTCCTTCCCATTTCTGCATGCAGAGGTTGCAGTAGGTGTTTTGTCTGCAGCATGGTAAAAGTCGGATGGCTCAGGAATTTTGATACAAGGAGGACTGAAAGTCTGCTAGAACAGGATTGTCATCAAATTATGACTGCCTGGGCAGCAAGAAATCAATCAAGAGTGGGCTGATTTACACCTGCCAGAGCCAGCACATCATGAACTTCATCATCTTTCCCAGTGATGTTTCTATCTTTGCATCGACACAGTCAGTGTGAGGAAAATATTTTCCTGTTTAAAATCAAAACATTCAAGGTAGTGTTTGGCAGAGTGTTGGAGCCTGGGGTTCCTGCTGCTTCCAACAACAGTGCTGATATCTTCTGCTAATGACCAAAGTGTAATATAATGAGTTGTCTTGGGCTTCTGCTTTATTCAGCGTGCAGTGTTTTAATAGACCGTTAGTAATTCTGAAAGGAATAAATGATGTTTATGCCCTCTTGTGGTATGTTATTGAACAGAATGGATTTTCTAGCTGACAAAATTAGGCCAGTGATGGAAAAGTCCCAGGTAGAAATGTGTAACGAATACTGTTTTGCACAGTAGAAATTTATCTATCCCTCCAGCAGCATCCTCATGACTCAGTTAAGGGGGGTGAAGCCAATTTTACATGCATTTACAGCAGCAAGTAAATGACTAATGCCCATGATGACAGAGTTTGTGCCATCATTCTGGAGTGAAGATAATTTTAAAAGTGCTTTTCTTTGCTGGGAAGATTAGAAACTAAGTGAAATACTGCTTTCTAAAAGCAATTGTGTTGACAACTCTTTGTGGTAGTTGGTGCCAATGTGTTGTGATACATTGATTCACATTTTTTATCTTCTTCACTCACACATCTGACAGGTAAATAATCTGATTCCCGTGGGACAAAGCCTGTCCCAAAGATGAAAAAATCTGTTTGGTTATTTTGCGTGGGGAAATAAAGTCAGATTTCTGTGAAACTGGGCCCATTATCCTGTTGTGTTCAAATACAATTAATTAACTAATCGATAGCTTTCTAACCTGCTCCGAAAATTTACATGTATTGTAAATACAGACAGGTCAGGCATGGATTTTGTATCAATCTTCTTACTTCATTCCTGACTGAAAACTGAGTACAGCAAAATGAAACTCAATATAGCAAAATGTTTCCTTCAGAGGGTGACATTAATTCTCTACACAGTCCAGCAACTGATGCCAGACTGTGGTCAGGCAGCGCTGAGGCAGGATCTAGGAAACCCTATTGTAGGAAGTTCAAAGACTTTTTGGTCCCAAATAATCACCTATTATTTAAGTGTTAGCTAATGCTGTGAGTAGCCATTATTTCCATTACATTTGATCTTTTTCTCTGCTCAGCTGGCAAATACGTAGAAGACCATTGTAAAGAGGAAGGAAATTACTTCCTTTCCACACCCATGAGTACAACCCTGATAGTGGGTTTAAATGAAAGTCGTTATCTTAACTGGGCTACACTTCAGGAGAAACAATCTAACGGGGTGGTAAATATTAGAATGGCCTCCTTGAGGAACATGGAGGATCTCCATCTCAAAAAATCTTTCATAAACAAGTGGTTCCTGGGAGTAAGATGGCTCTCATTTGTCATATCATGATGAAAGAAGGTGGACTTGATGACTTACAACAGGTCACAGAATCACAGAACATTAGGTGTTGGAAGGGACTTCTGGAGATCATTGAGTCCAAACCCCCTGCCAGAGCAGAACCACCACAGAATCTAGGGCAGGTCACTCAGAAATGCATCCAGATGGATCTTGAAAGTCTACAGAGAAGACGACTCCACAACCATTCTGGGAAGCCTGTTCCAGTGCTCTGTAGCCCTCACAGTAAAGAAGTTCTTCCTCATGTTGAAATAGAACTTCTGTGCTCTAGTTTGCATCCATTGTCCCTTGTCCTAAGACAGGGCATGACTGAAAAGAGATTGGCCCTTTCTTCTTGACAACCACCCTTCAGGTATTTATATACATTAATAAGGCCTCCTCTCAGTATTCTCTTCTCTAGACCAAATAGCCCCAGGTCTCTCAAAACAAATGTTCCAGTTCCTTGATCATCCTTCTAGCCCTCTGTTGAGCTCTGTTTTTGTGATTCTGTGTGATGATTTATTTTTATTATGTATATTTATTAGTATGATGAGAGAACACATCTTTATCTGGTAATTTAAGTGGTGACTCTTTGTTCTTACAGTTGATCTTACAGTCAGGTCTGGCTGATAGCAAAGCATGTCTAGGTACATCCAGTACTTTGCAAGTATACTTTGTAACAGTAGTTTGACACCAATTAAAGTGCTTATTGGGAATTAAAGTGCTTATTAGGTTATCATAGAGTTCATTGGCCACAAATTATGTCCTCACTGAGACTAAAATTCATCTCAAAATGTTACTTCTTGCTAATTTCCTTAGAAAAGGAAAATTCAGTAGGAAAAATGTCATGGTGAATAATTTTAAAAGGAAATTTTCTCTGTCAAAAACCTTTCAGGAGTTTCACATTCAGTTAGGGGATATCAGAAAGAAATTAAAGTCTAATTTAAAATCCCCACCCACATTCCTTCTTCTATTCCTGCAAAGTGATTATTGCTCCTGGTCCATGTATTGGCAAATCTTTCAGAAATGAGCAATAATTTGCCTTAAAAATACTTTTCTGGTCATGATGGAACTGTTCTTTTTGAAGAATAGTTTGCAACGACTCTGTGAAGAGAGCCAAAGTCTTCTGATTTCTCAATGCCATCAGTGGGGCTAAAATGTCACCCAGAAATGCTTCTTGGCATAAGGAAATTTGGACTGGACAGCACATTTCAAAGCTGAGGCACCTGCCAGGTGAAGCTCTGGGACACTGCAAGGCAGCTGGCCAGGCTTGATCTGAATGTGCCGTGATCCAGGCTATTTTCTGCTTTTGTTGATGGCACCACATCTGTGCCTGATGTGGTTAATAAAGAGGAGAAGGAATGTGTGACCCTAGCAAATTAAACAAATGAGCCATTAAAACAGGAGGCTGCACTACCTCTTCTCACCAATGCCTGCTTGATGTCCACAATGTATCCTGGCAAAATTACAAGAGAGCAGGGAGAGCTTTCAGGGATGTGCCGCAAATGTGGTCCAAGCTGAGATGTCTGTGGCTCCTGCTGAGAGAAAACCTAACGTCGTTCATCAACAGAGAAGCCAGCAAACCACTAATGGCTTTCCATCATGTTTCTTGACAGATATTGACCGAGGGCGGTTTTGGGACCATCACAACCGAAATCCGAGAGGCTCCAGAGTTTTATTATGCCGAGGATTACCATCAGCAGTACCTCAGTAAGAACCCCAGAGGATACTGTGGCCTCGGGGGAACGGGGCTTTCCTGCCCTATTGGGATCAAGAAATAACCTGTGCTTACTCCACCACCCTCACTTTGTTTTAGGAAGTTAGAAAAAGGCTTGACAGCCCTTATAGGTGTTCCGGTATGTCCACAGCATCAGTGTGTAAAGATCTGGGAACCCACTGCCGTGGCTTTCCTTAGTTTGAGCAGTTTCCCATTGATCTACATGAAGAACCAAAGTAGAGGCAGAAATTGCACCAGCGGGCAAATGCAGCTTCTTGCTCTGTGCAGCTTGCTGGGTTTCCTTGAAATCTTGTTATCTGGAGAGAAAAGAAACTTCTAAAAAGTTTGGCTTGAAATGCTGTTAAAAGGATGAATAAGGGGGTGGTTGCACCTGCTAACTGCTTTGCATAGCTAAGGCCTACAGACACGTAGTTTCTTGCATTAATTAATTTGCTTGTGTTATGAGAGCTTTGACTTCTGGAGACATAGTTGGACTCAGCTTAACTCTTGCAACCCTGCAATTTGATGTCTTTGAAAATGGTGAATTTATAAGATCAGTATTTCTTTCACAATTCTACTTTCACAGCAACATGTAATATATTTTTCTGAAACAATTTTAATAAGAAAAAGTAAAATTGCAATGTGATACTTCTTTTTGACAATTCCAAAAATTGTATAAATAAATTTTATTTCCTGCACTACAATAAATTACTAAAAAGAAAAGAAAAATCCTGTCTGCTAGTTGTTTGATGGCTCTAAGTATGTATCGGGGTAGATCTAAAAAAAGTATCAAATATTATAAAAGGCTGCAACCTGGTAATTAAACACCAAGGCTTTTAAATCTGTATTATCATGCATGACAGTACGGAGGAGTAGAATTCATACTGGCCACACTTTAGCATAATTATCCCTATGATTTATTATTTGCACTTCAGTAGCTTGTGGAGCCCCCACCAAAGGCAGAGCTCATGATGACAGGTGCTGTGCAAACCTAATGTTGGGCAGTCTCTGCCTCAGTGTGTGGACAGTCAAAATAGCAGGACAGTCGGAAAGAGGCTGAATAAATTTTTGTTGCATTGATGGGGTTCTAGAGCGGAGACTAAAAGCTACAGCCGAAGGACACAGGGAATGCAGAAGTTATCCTATATGGATATGGGATCTTAGGGCTATGGAGTGCTGTGGAGTATCCAAGAACAAACAACTTCAGTGGGGATAGATTTGTCCAACCCAGTACTTCCCAGAGCTGTGGGAGGTGTGGGCTTGAGCCTCTCTTGTGTTTTCTATTGTGGAGGCTGTCTTAATCACTAAATTTGATGAACATGTGTCATTGGTGTGTCTTCTTGCAGATGTGCTTTCTTCAGGGAAAGCTTGTAGGAGTCCATCTTGATGTGCCAGTCTGGGCAGGAAAACCCATAAAGCCATTTTTGAGAGGCAGATGGTGGGGACCCAGAGGCACAAATCCACAGCATTTCCTTTTTGATAGCTCTCTACTCATCTTCATATTTTGGTTTAGTGTTGTCTGCTCATCAGCTCAGGTTTTAGCCTCAGAAAGGCCCCAAACTGCTCTATGAACATCTGTAACAGCCCTGCAGACCAGGTCCTGTTCCAAGCTTGGCGTGACTGAAAATGTGCATCACACAGTCAGTCTTCAGGCCTGTAAATCCACTGCTGAAGTCCTGGCTGCTTGATCCAAAGACAGTCCATGTCAGAGAAATAAGCTCCCCATCTTCCTTGCTCCTCAGCAGATCCAAATTCATTCTAGTCTCAAAACCCAGAGGAAACCTGTCCTTTTAGCAGATTTATACCTGGGGCAAGCTTGAGAGGAGCCACTTCTGGCAGGATTGCCATGTTAGGCTCTTTGTGGAGGTGCCCCAATATGTCCCCACACCAGACTTGAGATTTCCAGTTGCTGTGGTAACTGATTACCTGTCCTTGATGCCTTGTGCCAATGAATTGTTCTAGTGCTCACTGTCAAAGGAACCAGCACTTCTCTCTAATTTTCTAGGCATGAGGTGACATAAAAGCAAAGAAGAGTGGAAAATGAAGTCTGACTTCCATCTTATGTGTTTTTAACCTCTGTGTAATTCAGACTTCAGTGGGATAAATCTTGAATTTCTCCAATGTGCAAGGCAAAACATTTCATATGCTGAATAATTTGAGTGCTCATAAAATGTTTCTTGATTCCCTTCTGTCCTTTCCCCTCTTCCCAGTTTAGAACAAGCTGGAAACTGTTTGAAGAAAGCACTGTTCTGCCCTTAATATAGCCAGGCTCTAGTCTGAAACTGGCTGGTTTTTAAGTGCTGTCCTGATGGAAGTGATGTGTCAGTTTAGAAATCAGCATAGATAGGTCCATTGGTGCTACAATTTGCCCACACCAAGATGCTGTTCTGCCACAGAATTAATTATGGAGTTACTGTAGGGTGGAGTTTTGGCCTTGATCCCTTGCAGCTGCTGCTGAAAGTACAAAGATATATGGGGGATATAAACAGTACAGGTGAAATGCAAACGGTTTAGTTTTTTAAGATGGATTTGGTCTTGTAAGCCACCTTTTCCCTCAGGGAAGAAGAGAGTGGCTGCCTTAGTATATTCGATACTAGACTTTTGATTTGGCACTGTTTGAAATTTACCTTCCCAAAGAGCTGCCTCATTCTCCTGAGAATATGGACATGTTCTAAATGAAGAAGAGAAAATTTATTTAGTGTTTGATGGGCCTCAGCACTTCTCAGAGTCAGAGATGCAAGCAGATGCATATAAAGTCTTTGGAGATAAGAACATGGTTCAAGATCCAAAAAGGGCTACAGCACCCAACTTAGGAGGTCTGCTATTGCAATACCCTGTGAAATTCAATCCAGGATACAGACAGGAATTTCACTGCTGCCCTATCCCTATCGTGGCTAAAGCAAAACCCAAGCCTCTTGGAAATTGCCTTAGGAAGGGCAGCCCCAACTGTGATGTCAGCAGAAGCAAGCGGAATGCATGATGTCACTTCCTGGTTGCCCCAGCAAAGAGCTGTGTTGCCTTTGGTGACCAAATGGGGAAGATGACCTGAGCAGCACTGCTCTGAATGTTGTCGAAGAGCATTGGTCAAAAACTGGGATTGAAATGCTGCTTTCCCTCTTTTATTTTACTTATCTCATCAGCGGAATCATTGCAAGTTCTTCTTCTCAACATTTTGTGTTCAAAAATGACCAGCAGAGCAGAACAACTGGTAGCCCTATAGAATATACACATACTGGTAAGTCAAATCATAGAGTCATAGAAGGATAGAATGCTTTGAGTTGGAAGGGACCTTAAAGATCATCTAGTTCCAACCCCCGCTGTGGGCAGAGACACCTTCCACTAGACCAGGTTGCTTCAAGCCCCATCCAATGGTCCTGGGCTTATTCCTTATACCTGATAGTGTATTCATATGGCTTGTACTACAGCCTGATGCTGAACTTTTCCACACAAACTCCCTAAACAAGCATTTTATCCAGCCTGCCTATGGGTAATGGTCTATGGCCCAGCTAGCCCCCAGACTGCCTGAGCACTGCTTGGCAATGCAGGTTTGGGGGTGCTACAGCTTTCATAGAGGTCAGGCAACATGGGTAATTATAGACCAGGGGTTTAGTTGTTGTCCTGCCTCTCTGGTTGAGCAGCACGAGCACTGCTGTACATGGTCAACATGTCTCGTTCTGTACCCAGCGTGTGGCCTCCGACCAGCTTACGAGTCCATTCTGGGTATTGACAAGAGCATCACAGAGGGGAGGTATGCCAAGGATGGAGAGTTCCCGTGGCACGTGAGCATCCAGAGCAATGGGAAGCACATCTGTGGAGGCACCGTGATCAGCGCGCTGTGGGTTTTAACTGCGGCCCGTTGCTTTGCAGAAGAAGTGTAAGTACTTGGGGCAAGCAAGGACAGCCTGGGCACAATAGGTTCATAATGTCACTGCTTGTGCGTGTAGACTATGTATGTCTTTGGGGTTAAGTAGCAAAGAGCTGTGTTGCCTTTGGTGACCAAATGGGGAAGATGACCTGAGCAGCACTGCTCTGAATGTTGTCGAAGAGCATTGGTCAAAAACTGGGATTGAAATGCTGCTTTCCCTCTTTTATTTTACTTATCTGATCAGCGGAATCATTGCAAGTTCTTCTTCTCAACATTTTGTGTTCAAAAATGACCAGCAGAGCAGAACAACTGGTAGCCCTATAGAATATACACATACTGGTAAGTCAAATCATAGAGTCATAGAAGGATAGAATGCTTTGAGTTGGAAGGGACCTTAAAGATCATCTAGTTCCAACCCCCGCTGTGGGCAGAGACACCTTCCACTAGACCAGGTTGCTTCAAGCCCCATCCAATGGTCCTGGGCTTATTCCTTATACCTGATAGTGTATTCATATGGCTTGTACTACAGCCTGATGCTGAACTTTTCCACACAAACTCCCTAAACAAGCATTTTATCCAGCCTGCCTATGGGTAATGGTCTATGGCCCAGCTAGCCCCCAGACTGCCTGAGCACTGCTTGGCAATGCAGGTTTGGGGGTGCTACAGCTTTCATAGAGGTCAGGCAACATGGGTAATTATAGACCAGGGGTTTAGTTGTTGTCCTGCCTCTCTGGTTGAGCAGCACGAGCACTGCTGTACATGGTCAACATGTCTCGTTCTGTACCCAGCGTGTGGCCTCCGACCAGCTTACGAGTCCATTCTGGGTATTGACAAGAGCATCACAGAGGGGAGGTATGCCAAGGATGGAGAGTTCCCGTGGCACGTGAGCATCCAGAGCAATGGGAAGCACATCTGTGGAGGCACCGTGATCAGCGCGCTGTGGGTTTTAACTGCGGCCCGTTGCTTTGCAGAAGAAGTGTAAGTACTTGGGGCAAGCAAGGACAGCCTGGGCACAATAGGTTCATAATGTCACTGCTTGTGCGTGTAGACTATGTATGTCTTTGGGGTTAAGTGCAACATGGATGTGCCTGAGCCAGAAGGAGAGCTCTGAAAACAGGAATTGTGTCCTTTGGGGAAAACAAGTTCATTTTTTATCAGAAGTAGTGTTGCAACAGAAATCTGCAGAAATTTGCTTACCCAGGAGGTACAGGAGGGGAGTATTTTGAAGCAGCCTTGTATAAATGCCCATGATGCTGTTCTGATGGCCCTGAGCATTTCTACCCATGTTGTGGTACCTTGTAAAAAGAGATATGTTCCATTCTAGCTTATTCTAACCCCCAAATTACATTTGCTTTCACATAACAAACACCTGTACCTCGGGGATAGTCTGCTTTTTAAACAGCAGTTTCTTAACATATCAACTCCATGCAATGCCTAGGGACACAGTCCAGCTCTTTGTGAGCCCTCTTCGAAATTCAGCAGGTCCAAGAGCCAAGACTGCTCAGTGACAAATGACCAGGGGCATCACAACCTGGAGCAGCTGGCTGGGGGCAGTGCAGTCCAGAGCAGCCAGCTCAGGGCACAGCTATCCTGAAGATCCAGCCCACTCCATCTGTTCATTAAAAACTGGGCTATTTATAACTGAGTTGCACTTAGGTTCTACCTCTGCACCTCTCTCCCCTGAAAACTAGCTTTGCCTGGGAGTGTAAGTAGATTTTTATGGTATCTATAGCTAACCTGCCTCTGCAATTTGCTGAGCACCACACTGCCCTGCTCAGAGGGAGGAGGCACTGACCTTTATAACACAAAGCCTTCACCTCTGCTTACATCTTAACTGCTTTTGTTTTGTTTATAAGACCACCAGATCTCATTGTTGTAATGGGGGGAATTGACCTCGAGTTGCCTCTGGAAGAATATCATCTGGACAGATTGATCCTCCATGAAAAATTCAACAGAACGAGCTTGCAAAACGATATTGCACTGATCCTGCTCAGGTCTCCCATCGAGTTCAGCAATAAGAAAATCCCCATCTGCTTGCCCTTCATGTATGACACCGACATGTGGCAACACTGCTGGGTTACTGGGTGGGGAACCACAAGTGAAGGTGAGATACTTTCAGGAGTGGTATTTGCTAATGGACACTGATTTTTCTCCCTTTAAAATAGATGTTCTCTCCCAGGAGGGCTTACCCACACTAACTTCACTCCTTACCTCCCTGATAAACACATCTAGATCCTCACAGCTTCTCCACATCCACCAGTTCTCTGTTCTGGGCAAGAAGGAGTTACCTACTGACCCCCAGAGCAAAGTCCTTGGTACTCTGAGCATGTATGTTCAAGCTGACATCTTAGAGCCCACCTTCACTTTGCAGGACCTCAACCTCTTTTTTGGCACCCAAAGTAAAACAAGATCCACCCTGGTGGGCAAGTTAGGCTGGGCCTAAAGTGGGCTGGAATAGGGAGGTGGAAGTCTGAGGTTGTCTTTGTCTTAATGACTTTATGAACCACATTGATTCAATGGCACTGGCTACCCTTCTTCACTCATTTAGAGCAGCAGATTGCTATTCCTAATGGAAGTAGCTCCAGCACTGATGGTGACCCAAAATGTCCATCCTGAGGAAATGTCACTAAAAGACTAATGAACAATTTTTTTTATTGGAAAGAGGTAATCAGGATGGAGTGGGCAGGGTGGTGCTTTGGGGATCTGCCAGTCCTTCCTAGGATGTAGTGAATGAAGGTCCCGTTTAATGCTTGCTCTTGTGCTCTGTAGGGTTATTGTCTCCTCTCTGAACCTCTGCATTTCCCCTCTTAGGTTTCATTTGCCTCCTGTAAAAAAAATGCGCAACACAACACTGTGTTACTGTTGTGAAGCTCTCATATTTCACCAAGGTAACATGCTCTTAGAAACAGAAAAGCAGGAGGTTGCAGTCACTCTGCAGCTTGGCAGGGTTTCTCTTTAGCTGGTTTCTTTGCAAAATACCTGGCATGGCTCTGGAGATTGGTCCCATGCTGCTGTGTGGGCTCAGCTGACAGAAGTTCTGCTCTCCAAATTGCACCCTGCATGAGGTCAGTGCACTCAGCCCTGGCACACTCCCCCTTTTCTCTGGGAGATGTTTCAGAAGAAAACCAGCAGAAGCTGAGTTTGGTGAGAGGGAGGTGTGTGAAGGTGTGACACAGGCCATACCAAGAAGTGTAGCACATTGTTTCTCGGTGGGGAAAATTGGTCATTTCTTGTCTTTCCCAGACTTTTTTTTTATGTGGACATCTCTCAACTGGCACCTCAGGCAGCAGTAGGATCACTCCCTTTCAACTGTAGGCAGTTAGACCTCAAGTCAAGCCACCTCCTTGGAGATGCCTCCAGTAAAGCCTTTTAATATGTGGGCACTTCCTTGGAGTGGCCCCATGTTAGCTGGGAAAGGGATTTAATAACTTTCTACCTTCTAGGTCTTAGTATTCCGCCCTCCCAGAGGCACCAGGGCCATTTAGCTCAATGAAATATGGAAGAAGTGAGTTTCTGCAGATCTGTAGGTCTCCCCAGCAGCAGCATCCTCAAATTCAGTTTTATCCTTCAGACTCAGACTCACTTTAAAGAGAAACATGGGTGAAAGTAGTGGGATTTTTAAGTAGCCCTGCACATTTTCAGTCTGTTTGTCACTTGCTGTTGCCCACTGCAATTTCTGATTTCCCATCTCAAAGGGAGAATAAAGCAGTTGTTTCCATTGTGTCCTGCTGTCCTGAGAGCCACCTTGTGCAAGAGACTTCTGGTCCCCTGGGTGAAGCACAACCCGTGAAAACATGGAGTTAGCAAGATCATCTGTTCTGAGGAAGCCTCAGTGGACTTGCCTCTGCAGGGCTCACACAGGACCCCATGAAGAATCCCTCAAACTGAGTTTCACAGAAGCATGAGTGAGAAACCTATGGTGTGCAGTGCAGCTCATCTCAGGTCATTACCAAGACCAGCAGCATAAACCATCCCTTTGGAAGTCTTCCAGCTGTACCATTTCCCAGAGCTCATCTACAAAATTTAGTGATTTGTTAAAAATCCTCTTTAGCAAGACTCCACTCCTCAGGATTTCAGCTTTGCCCATTAATACCCTTCCCCCTTTCTACCTACCTACCTACCCACCTCCTAGTCTGGCATCAAGTCAGGAGCACAAGCTTATCTCTGCTACCATTTGGACAGCCCATGTAAGCACCCATGACCCCCAACATAGTTGTGCCCTGAGACCCTCTTGCCCTGAGATGCTTTTCAAATTCAGCTCAGAGCAGTCCCAAGAGATAGTCTCTAGCTGTGGTTTCACCCTTACAAGTCTGTGCTGTTCTGCAGTTTCTGAATTGTTCTCTTCTCATTGGCTGGTTGGTGGATGTGGTTCCAGGGTCCCTCGTGCTGCAGAAGACACAGATGAAGGTCATCAGCAGGGAGCACTGCTCGGACCGGATCCTGCTGCTGGGGGACAACATGCTGTGTGCTGAGGTGCAGAGAGCAGAAGAACGTACCTGCAAGGTAAGTTTAACAGACTTTCAGATGGCCATGCTGCCCACGGCAGCACAGAGACATTGGAGGAGAAGCCCCTTCACTTGAGGAATGAACATTGATCCTTCCCAAAGCTTCCTGGGGTTGCTAAACCTTCCCTGCAGGATGCCCAGGGGCAAACAACTGCCTGCAAAGGCATATTGACCCAGGCAGGAGGGTGCAGGACTCCTGGGGTTGGGATGCAGTGCTGGAAATGAAACACCTTGTTGAGTAGATGAGCCTCTCCTCACACTCTTCCCCCTGCCCTGATTCCTTCTCTGCAGTGAGAGAGACAAAAACTCTGCAAGGGAAACCACAAGCTGAAAGGAGAATGAGGGAAAAGGGTGGTTCCCAGCAAGTCCCCTTGGATAGGAGACAGTTTTGGGTGGCTCTGGGGACAGGAATTTGGACTGTTACCCCACAGCAATGTAAAAAACTATCTTCTGTGCCCGAGCTGTAAAGTGGTGGGAAAGATGGGAGGAGAGGTCTTGCACCTCTTCAGAGAGAACTCAACACATCATGGGCTGTGTCCTCCTGCCTGGTGTCCCCTCAGCCCTGGCCCAGGCAGTGCTGCTGTCACCAGGTTATATACTGAAAGGAGACAGGGAAGTTTGTCTGGGAGGGTCAAAACAAAAGAATCATCATAGAATCATAGAATGGTTTGTGTTGGAAGGGACCTTAAAGATCATAAAATTCCAAACCCCATGCATGGGTAGGGACACATCCCACTAGGTCAGTTTGCTCAAAGCCCCATCCTACCTGGTCTTGAATACTTCCAGGGATGGGGCAGCCACAACTTCCTTGGGCAACCTGGGCCAGTGTCTCACCACCCTCACATTAAAGAATTTCCTTCTAATGTCTGACCTAAATCTCCCCTCTTCCAGTTTTGATCCATTACCCCTTTTGGGAAGGAAGTTTAATCCCAGACTATTTAACTGGAATATTAGAAACCTTTCTCAGGTGAAGTCTTGGATCTGATCCAAATGCCCTTAGCTAACATGGCAGGTGGGTCTGTGGGTGCCAGAACTAGTCACAGCTTATTGCAATGAGTTAGTAATATAGGATGGTGGACTTTGCAAGCTAAAGTATAAAGAATTTGAGTGGTGTTTGATATCAGGGATTGCTAAGGGGAGAGAGCTGACAAAAACACCCAAATATGGGAAAACCTCACTCAGAACTTGTGCCCTCAGAACATACACCACTCACAGGATTGCTGTCCTGATGTTCAAACAAAGTCTGAAAGCCAAAAGACACCTTTCATAGCATCCAACCTCTAACACCTCCTCTGAGAGCCCAGTAAGAACTGGGCTCTCCTGCAGCCTTAGCCCTTCAGGACTAAGGTCTCTATCCTCCACTGGATAAGGGTTTTCTTAGATATGTGCCTGTGTTTGCAGGAGGATAGATTGGTAGACAAATGTATGCACAGCTTCATCCTGTAGGAATCATTCATTCACTGAGAGAAATAAACCAACACCTGGGACAGAGAGAGATCTTCTGCACTTTGGGCAAAGGCAGCAGGTTCAGGGACTTGGACCATTACACAAGCTGAGCCCATAACTGGGCAGTGGAGGGGAAGTTTGCATTGCAAAATCATTTTTTGATTAGCCAGATAACATCTGTCTCTGCAACCATTCATCTAGTGACTTTCATCTCCATTAAATTCAATCACAATTTTTAAAAAGCAAACTGCCACAGGATAACATTAACATGATTAAAGAATGCACTTCCCAGCCCAGCCTTAAGTTCTGTGGCTGAATTATGCTGGTGAAACAGCAAGAGCACTTGTACTTTGCAAAATGAATCTCCTGTATTCAGAAAGCTGATGAGGATGCTATTTTGATCTACAATAATGTTAAGAGTTGTCTGAGAAATTAGCTAGAAATGTGAGCTTTCCAAGCAGTGGAAATACACAACAATTGCATGTGTGGTAGTTCTCATAACCCAGCAACTGCCCACTTGTAGTGGAAACTTGACAGGCAGAAATGTCTTGCAAACTGAAATAATGAGAGCAAGACAAAAACATACCCTAGGCTAGTGAAGCTCTTCGGGAGAGAAACAGGTGACAGGACTTTTCACCAGAATTTGCTAATTTGCTGGAGGGGAAGCATTTTGCTGATGGATGGTTTTCTTGGAAGTGCTGATTGAAGTCAGATAGTCACAATTTAGCTTTGCTGGGGTGGTTGAAAAATTTGCTGCCTTACCTGCAGCAGGTGGCCTGGTAACCAACTGGGAGGCCAGATCCAAACCTGATAGTTGCTCTGCCACATGGGTCACTGGACACCCAGTTCATCTTCCCTGGGCAGACAGTGAGGCACAGCATAGGCAGCGTGATCTATTGAGTTATGTTTGTCTATAAAGCTTATGGGGTTTGTGTTGAATGAAAATGAGGGCAGATTTCAAAAAACCTAAATATTTTACAAAGGCAGCTAACCAGCTGTCTTCTGAATGATTTCCAGGCACAGCTCAAGCTTTCATGTGGGTCAGGAGTCACCCACAATAGAATGGTTTGGGCTGGAAGAGGCCTTTAAAAGTCATCTAGTCCAACTCCCCTTCAGTGAGCAGGGACATCTTCAACTAGGTCAGGTGGCTCAGGGTCCCATCCAACCTGACCTTGAAAGTTTCCAGGTGTCCTGGTTTGAGCCAGGATGAAGCCAATTTTTCTTTTTACTGATTTTTTTTTCCTTCAGTAAGCTTTCTTGTAACTAGCAACAGTGTGTTCTCCTAGGCTGGTAAGACAGTGGAATGTTTTTCTAACTACTGAGGCTTCAAGGCTGCACCTGCACTCTGCCGGCTCAGACACTATGGGGAGATCTGTGACCCCCCCGTAGGAGGCTGAGTTAGGGATGGGACAGAATCACTTTGGATAATCCTTTCCAATCCAAACCAATCTGTGATCCTGGCACCCTAGGTTAGCAGCCAGGAAGAAGCAGCAGCACAGACAGGGTCTGTTCCTCTGGTCAAGGAAAGAACCCTAGATATGCTGGGCTTGCTAATGTAGATGTCACAGAAAATCTAGAAACTTACACTGCACAGATGGATGATCTGTCTGGACATGAAGTAGATAAAAGCCTTTTGTTGACTTTTTTTGAGCTTTGCTGAGAACCAGGATACATTTGTTCATGTCCAAAGCCAGGCTAAGTTGGGTAAGTTTCATCTAGGTCCAGGGTTGTAAGTCCACACGATCCTGATCTAGATCCAAATGCTTGCCATCCTAGCTTTTTGCATTGTGTGCCATTTGTGTGCTAGATTTTCCCCTTTGCAGCAAGCTGTTTCATGTGAGTAACTAAAACCACACAGAAGTCTTCACCAAGGCATCATTTAGAAGTTTTGTTCTACTGATCACTGCCTTAATAACCCCTTGTGGCATCAGGACGTGAATAGAAAGTCTCAGATGTTTCAGCTGCCTTCATACTAGTACCAGACAAGACTAATTTGTGGATCACTGACCATATTCCAATAATAACTCAAGGAGATGGAATAGCAGAGCTATGGAGTATTTGTACTTAAAAAAAAATAATAATCCATTAACTTAAAAAGAAAAATCTATTGTATAGCAATTCCCTAGTGGTTCTGCAGACAAATGTATGGATTGACTGTGAATTAACACTAACAGGATCTCTAATTGACTTATAGTTCTATTTTGCCATAAACATTAGCATTAATGAATGTTTATGGGGTACAAGACACTAGAGATGGCCTATGTGTTATTTTTTGTGAGCTACATTTCTTCTGTGACCCCACAAACCACAATTGGTGTCTAATTCCTTGCTTTCTTTTGTTAGGCTGATGCAATGGTAACTGGAACAACAATTAGAGTATTAAGGACTCACAAAGCAAATGCCTCTTCAGTGTCTTGCCTACCCAGACAAAATTCAGTAAATGGCCCAATTACATTTCAGAGAATTTCTGCAAAGAAGGTCTGTGGGGGTAGCTCTGTGATGTGGTGATTAGGCAGAGTGTGTTCAGCTGGAAGTCACAGCTCATGTAAAGTTCAGGTCAGCAGCAGATGAAGGGAGACCCAGTCCTTGGTCTGACTTTCAGGGAAAGGAATAACTGTGTGGCCACAAACAAGCAGTGTGATGATTCTAGCTCAGCTTCACTGTGTCCTACACCCTTTCCCAGTGTATGGCTGATGTGAGTCATGGGCTGAAGGTATCTACTCCCTTCCAACCATTGTAGCAGGAGGTGATCTTGGCCATCTGAGGTGAGGGGAGACTTTCTCACTCTCTACTACTCCCTGAGAGGAGGCTGGAGTGAGGTGGAGCTTAGTCTCTTCTCCCAAGGAACAAGCAACAGAACAAGAGGAAACAGACTCAATTTGTGCCAGAGGAGGTTTAGATTGTATATTGGGAATAATTTCTCCATGGAAAGGGTTATCAGGCCCTGGCCCAGGCTGCCCAGGGCAGTGGTGGAGCCCCCATCCCTGGAGGGATTTCAAAGCCGTGTAGATGTGGTGCTGAGGGACATGATTTAGTGGTGGCCTTGGCAGTGCTGGGGTAATGGTTGGACATGAGTATCTTAAAGGTCTTTTCCAACCAAAACATTTTTGTGATTCTGTGATCTCTGATAAATGTCTGAAGTGATGTTAGGATGCATCTAGGGCTCCTGGGTTTGATTTCTCTAGTTCTATGAAAAAAGGCAAAGAAGGACCTTTTCCTTCCTGTGTAATATGTCCTGCCCATGTACCCTGTCAGCAGTTTGGAAAGGGCAAATTCCCTGTACATCAACTGGGATGCTCAGGGCTCTCATCCATCATAGCTACAGTGACAGCAGTAGTTGTTGTGCATCCCTGGATGGGATTTGTCTGGTCAGATACAAATGTCTTTCCTTTGGCCGCCTTCATCTACTGAATCATCTTTCCATCAATAGGGAGAAATAAAAGCCCTTCTGACATGTAATGCATCCAGACCATTTTAACCATCTGTTTTAAAACCTGTGCTAGTGCTTATTGCCCCCCACTAGGTAAAAGCAAACCCAAGGTGTCTAGCTTA